CCCCCCCCCCCCCCCCCCCCGTCTACAGGGAAAAACCTCTCACTGCCGTTGGCGAGGCAACGACGTCGCGGTCAAGAGCCTAGCGTCGCACCCTTCCTTCTTCCCTTCGATCGCCCAGACCCGCTCCGGCCTGGAGCACGAGGCCACCATCCTCTCCCTCATCGGACACCACCCGAACATCGTGCAGTTCTTCGGCCTCAGCCGGCGGGACGGCGCCTGCGGCGACGAGGAGATACACGTCGTCACGAAGCTGGAAGAGGGAGGCAGCATGGAAGGAGTGCTGGGCGTTAGGGCGGGGAGGGCGAACGGCTGGCATTCCCCGGTCTCGAACGGCGGCATCGGCGGCATCGGCAACGGTAACGGTAACGGGTGGAACGGCCGCGGCGCGGAGTTCGACGGGAGCACGCGGGAAGTTTGGGCTTGGGATATCGCACGCGGGTGAGACGCCTGGGTGTTGTGGGAGGAGTGGGTTGACTACATACCTAGCAAGGGGTTGCCGTTGTTTTGGGGTAGCTTCGCGACGGTATTTTCGGGAGCACTTTCAGGAGCCGCCCAAGGTTCTCGTGCGAGACGGTTTTTTTTTCGTCGTCGGGCCGTCATGTTTGGCGTCCTTCCTTGTGTATTTATTGATGTTTTGCCATCATGTTCGGGTGTTTTGACCGGTGTGCTAAGTACCAAGACACAAACGGCGCTTGAAACGAGAGAGGATTTTGCTCTCTTAAGCAGTACACAGCTAAGCAGTACACGGCGGCACTGCTGTAAGTAGTACCCTTCTTTCGTGACGCCATCATACGTACCAAAACACAAACGGCGCTTGAAGTAAGAATCAATTGGGGAAGCAGCACGGCAATCTATTTGTTTATGTCCGGGTGTTTTCACTGGTGTGCTAACGGTGTAAATGCGCAGTGGTGTGTGCCTCTCTATCGTACTTGGGGGCTCATCCAAGTATCCAGCGCGCTAAGAAATATTTCCTCTGTGGAGCTGCTTTTGCGTTCCTCTCCGAGTCCCTGTGCCTTGCCCCTCTCCCCCCTTCCCTCTCACTGCTACGCCTCCTCCCTCTGAAGCTTACTCTCTTTTGTTATCGCTGGCACGCAGCTCACCTCTAAACACCACCCAACAACCGCCTGTCTCTTTATCAGGCTGGCAAACTCTCACGCGGCTGGCGTCCTCCACAACGACATCGCGAGCCGAAATGCCTTGCTGTCGAGAGCGGGGATCGGGGGGCGGGGCCTCCTGTGCGACTTCGGGATAAGCCGGTTTCTGCAAGAGAAGGGAGTCGCCAAGGCGTTTCTCATCGATCCGGAGGACCATGATGACGTTTGGCCGATTCGGCAGATGCCCCGGGAGTCGCTGACGCACCCGTTTCCGCTGACCGCAGAGAGTGATGCGTGGATGTACGGCATGTTCTTGTACGAGGTGAGACGGGGCGCGGTTGCTGTTTGTGTCGCTCTCTTGCGTGGTTTGCTGTTGTTTTCTTGGTGGTTTGTGGTCGATGTGGTTGTTGATTGGTATCCTCGGAACGTGCCGGGCTGCTTGGTTCTTGTTTTTATTAGTTGTGGTTCAGCAGTGCTTGTAAATGTTCTTCACTGTTGTAGCGTGTCGCCCACGCCTGTGACAGGTTGGTTTCCTAGTCGAGGATTTTTGTTCTACTGTATGCCCAGTGTTTGCTCCCTTGTCTTCGTGGGTATGGTAACGACTGCTGTTAGCGGCCTCTCTTTCCGGGGTTCGATGCTTTCCCCACCCCAGCCCCCTCTCTGAGCCGGTTTCTGGTTCATCGCCGTGCTCCTTCGAATATGGAAGGAAATAGGAAGTTTATTTGCGTGACCGTGCTGTCGTTGTACTATGCATCTGGACATGTTATACCTTGCAGGTCTTCGAGGGTGAGCAGCCATGGGCAGGGCTCGAGAAGTCCGAGGTTAAGCGCCTGATATTGGAAGGGAGGCCCGCCCCCAAGGCCCCGGAGATGCTGAGGCAACGCGGCGACCGCCTCGTGAAGCTTTACGAGAGCTGCTTGAGCGACGACAGCACCAAGCGGCCGAACTTAGAGCGTATCTTGGACCAGTTCTCGCCTGCCTTGTCTCCCTCGGATTGGATGGCGTAGGGTTGGACGTGTGGCACACTGCTGGCGAAGAGGTTGACGAACGCTGCACCACGTTGCAGCTTGGCCCTGTGATTTGCAGCTGACGATAATTAGTGGTACCTCGGGGCACTTGTGGAGAAGCAGTGTGAAGGAAGGGTGGCTCGGTTGTAGCACGTACCCACCATTCCAATCCAAATTTTCGCTTCCCACTCTAGCACGCTTGTTTTTTCTACAGGAGGTGGCGACGGCTAGCGGAGACAGACGATTGTCCGCAGTTTCTTACTTGATGCGCGAGGAGGCTCGGAGCGTTGCCTTGTACGCGTTTCGATTCCGCGAGGTGCTTTGAAACCGTCAGTCAACTATTTTCCGTTTGTTTTATCTCTTGTTTTTAACTATTAAATACATTGTATTTCTATTATTTAGCGTAGAAGACTATCCCCGCTCCCTGATTATAGTTCTCAGGCTTTTGTCTGCGAGTTTCTTGTCGTCCGCTTTGTCAGTGGCTTTGTGGTACTGACGGAAATGGACACGTCATTTGATGTAGCCGGTCCTAAAACCCGCTTGGAGGGTTGTTCCCGGTATTCGATTTCTCTCGGTATTTGCGGTTCTTAGAAATATATTCCCAGCAAAGTGGTGGACGGAATGTTTTTTGTTCCAGATGAAGATTGTGGCGGATAAACGCACACACCATCTGCTGTTGGTTAAATACCTTGTGTGTGAGGGCAAAGCTCGTCGCAAGCTTAGTAGCTACAGTATTGTTGGCAGATTGGTAATGGTGGGGGTACGCATCGAGTGTCTGGTGAGATCTGTTTAGGGTCCACGCGTTCTTTCGCCTCTCGTGCAATGTTCCTCTGTTTGGTACTCTTGTTGTTTTCGTATATGTTCATTCGTCCGCATGTATCATATGCTCTCTATTGGGTACGTACTCGAGTTGGCGTGTTTGTCGACGACGGCGGGGTTCGCGAAGGGGGCCCCGTGGCGTGCGTTTTTGCGTGCGTGGTAGTGTCCGGATCGTGCCGCCGCGGCGCCCCGCACGTCGTCTGCTCTTGTTGTGTCTCTTTGCTTTGTCAATTTACCCGTTGTTTGTGGTGGTTTTCATCTCGGAAACCGGTTGCGTGCGGGCACCTCTCCTGTAGACTATTATTGTTCTCTCTGCAACTCTAGCTTCACCGCTAGTTAGACGGAGGGCTAGCCAGTTCGATGCATTAGTAGTATAGGCCTTGACAGCGGGGGGGGCATATTAGGGGCATGTTATGCTCTCCCGTTTCCTTCCTAAATATGTAGTGTGATTTATTTGAAGTGTTCGGTGCTGTTCGCATGTTGTAGAAGAAAGTCACGCCTGCGGCGCCGGTAATTTTGAAGGAGCGCGAAGCGAGGCTGCGTCTCCGACGCGCACAATTTTCGCGAGCAGCGCGATGGGATTTATATTTTTTTACTGTTCCCCGCGCGCGCTATATGTGTGTGTCTCTCTGCAGCTTATCTGTCTGTCGTCTGTATGATGCACCAGCAGGATGAGGATGTTCTTGGTGTAGAAGCTACAAAATGTCATGTTTTGCCATCCGGTGTTGAAAAGTTCTGCTTGGTATTGGCGAGGGTATATAAATGCCATGTTTCGCCGTTGTCGAAAAGCGCTGCAGTAGATGTTGGCGACGGTTGTTGACGGTGGCTGATGAAAGTCCGGCAATCTTGGGCTATTGGGGGCTCGTATATGCTTTTCTTTTACTTTGCTTTCTTTTTTTTTTGTAAGGGAAGTTGTTTAGGCTTCACGACCATGGGGTGCCGGGGGGGGGGGGGTCTGAGACGAGGCTTGGCACCAAACACTCGGCCATAGTATTTACACGCGGCCGCACAGCAGGGTAGCGAAGAACATCCGTCATTCACGGACACACCTTGGCTTGGACGCACCCTCGATACACCTGGTTAGGCGGGTATGTTAACACTCAAAAGCTTGCATACATTGATTAAGCACCATATGGTCCAATCGTTCGTGCTATCGTGTTATTTCGCGCATCTCCATGGGCGGGTGTTTTGGGGTGCATGGCTGAGTTGGGCGCGCAGGTACATGGCCATTTTCATTCCCGCCGCCTCAAAGGGTACACGATGTCAAACGCGGCACTAACTGCGATCCGAGCACCTTGATGATGATACATGACACACTTACGCAACGGTGAGTGCTGCATTTAACGCGATGGCGATGAAATAGCTGAGACGAAAGCCTTCCATCCAGTACGATATCCACCCTTCCGCAAAGCCGAGCTGCTGCCTCGCCGATAGCCAACTTGACTTTCATTTATTTGCCGAGAAACGCATCCGTATGCGCGATTCAGGGGGGAGGCACACGGAAGGCGCGATGATGACCCCACGGCTGCGGTGACGGCGCATGTTCATGAGGGCCCCCCTTCCCGATTCGATACCTCCCTACCCCCCCCCTTGGCAACGACGTTGTAAAACAAGCCAATTCACTTCGTGAACTCGGCAACCAGGTTACCGGTTTTTTTTTTACCTCGGTTTTTTTTTGGCGGTAACCATAATGGTGGTCGAGTAGATCATGTTGTGCGGGGTGGAGAAACCTCACTCCGCGCAACGGGGGATGATCGCACCACGTTGTGTTAAAATGGTCAAGCTTCCTCGAGGCAGTTACACAGTGCTTACAACTGTCTCTGGAAGTGAAAGCACCAGAAAATAAATTAAGTCATACGTAGCTGTCATCCGTACGCAAGGAAGTAAGCACAAGATGCCGAACACCCTTAGCAGGATGCAGCTCACCCTTCATGCGACTCGCCAAATACCTCACGGCGCTTCGCGCTTGGTGATGTGAGAGCCTGGTCCGGTGAGAACCCGGCGTGCTCCGTCCCGGCTTTGTAGGGATGCGAGGTCAATGGTCAAACGACTACGGCATGCACGACTATGAGTACACCCCCCCCCTACCCCCCCCCTATGGCGTAGGAAGTGGGTTGAAAAAGCGGGAAGTGATATCGAGAGGAAGATAGACTAGGAAAGACATTTTTGAGTCACCTTTTGCAAAGTAGGAATGAACGATCGGCCATCGGTGATCGGAACAACGCTCCGTCCGTCCTCTCGAGGACGTGTGGTCAATGGTGAAACCTAACAATTAAGGCACGCAAAACATGAGAGTACGCCCCCCCCCCCCGCGCTAGGGGTGGCCCTTACTTTTCGATTTTTTTTTTTTCCGTGCCATTTTTCTCCAGTTTCGTGCCATTGCCTCCACTACACTGATTGGCCCGAGGGGGGCTCCGTGGATTCGGTAAGTGTGCCCTTTGAGGGTGCGTCCTCCGATGTAAATCATGCGCATCCTTTCCTCCCCCATGTCCTGCAGCAACACAGAGGACGTCTACAAGAACACCAGCGAGTACCGCGCGGTTGATCTCTCGCGGTATGGGCTGTATGCCGCAGCATGGTTCGACATTGGGCTATAACGCTCTTCGTTCGCTCAAAGAACAAAAGTGCTGATGGCTTCTACCGACTGCTCTTCTCCGGACTGCTCCACTTTAGTGTCGGGACAGCAGCAACACACGACAGGATAAAGCATCCTCTTCCGCCACACCCCGCAGCAGCACTACCGGCAAGATCGTGACAGCGAGCACCGGCACCGGGGCACTACTTGGGCCTTGAGAACCCGTCGCCACCGCCGCCGCCGCCGCCTGATGTTGTCTGAGAGGCTGATGCCGTCCCCGCCGGCGTGGCTAGTCCCCGCACCTCAGCTATCCTCCTGAACACCCGCAGCAATTGTGATGCCGACAGACGGAGGGCGGCCGGTTTCCGAGACAAGTTTGCATGATTTTTCTGGCAGCGGCACCTGTCACTTTTTTTGGACAATACGCTTGGCATTTGCTACCCGGAATGTTTCGAGTCTCGCCGCCACCACTACTATTGTACCAGGACAGCCCCATCACGGGGATACTGTCATGGCTGACCTAGGGTCCTCGGTATTGTTATTTATTGGTTGACCTACACTATAGGGTATTTGGTTTCGTTTTACTAAGACCATCGCGGGCAACACGAGTCAGTGATTGCTGCGCTGAGGTCACGAAACGTAGCCATGTGCCAGCTAGACAACAATCGAACGTCAGGACTCCTCCGATGGGAGAGAACCACGACAATTCGATGAAGCTCATACCATCACACGAGCGTTGCGCGTTACAACAGATGTGACAACACGGGCCAATACGTCTCCATAGCGTGGCATGATTTGGGGAGCGCAATGAGCGAAAGGCCGTTTGTATCTTCTGAGGACCAAAAAACAAAAAAACTTACTTTCGTATCCATGCATGAAGGCAAGAATACTGGAGCATGATAAAAAGAGACAAAAAAAATACCTTGGGTCTTTGAGTCTCGCTGCTACCTCAGCCGCCTTCTCCCACGATTTGTTCTCAAGGTACAGGTCGTACCGATCTTCCGCTTGAGGTATCTGCTCCGAGTAATGCGGGTTTCACACGCGTCGGAACCGGGGAAAGGGGTTGTAGTTTAGAGCACGAAACCGTCACTGATTGGATGGTAAAACATCAAGAAAAAAACAAAAAAACACTGCTGTGCTTCGAGGTGGAGGACATGCCACGAAAAGCACTGCGTTGTGAATAAATTACCGTTCGAGATGTTAACGTTTTCGCTTCCATGACCATCCGCCGCTAGACTAGTCCGATAGACTAACGAACAACCCCCCATACAGCTGGGCTGGGTCTCTCGCCACTAGCTGTGCCACTATCATGTAACAAGCACGTTCTGGATTGGTATGTATCGGGGTGAGTACCAACAAGTCTCGACCTGCTTATCCGTGAGACCAATGTCAAAAGTGTAGGACCATCCGACCTGACACATAATTTGTGGTACCGCAAGAAATCCACTCTGCGTTACCCCCGTGTCTTTCTCGTGTTGTGAATATCGTACCACGCGGCCATTTTCGAGTCACTTCTTAATCACTTCTTCTCCTCATAAGCATAAAGTCTGGGAGAAAAACAGCCGCATGACCACCTCCCTTTGTCTGTGCTGCACACTTCTTCTCCCTCTCGAAACACAGCTCTTTAAAGTTGTTGACTTCGATCTTGGTGCATATACTTCGAAGTTAGAGGTTGTAAATAACAGACAGACACTTGCGTTAGGTGCAGAGCGTAGTAGTCGCAGAGACATCTTGCGAACATCTTCGTTCATGTTAGTCTCCGTGCCCCCCGTCTTTTTCTCATCGTCGGCAGTGCCCACGTGCCGGCACGGCCTTACCTTCCGTCGGTAGGCCACAACTTAAGGCGAGGCCGCGGGGCAAACGAGCACCGCCAACGATGGAAAAAAGAACGGGGGCACGGGACTGGAAGAAACGAAGACACAATATTCGCACGACAACACTACATCTACACCCTGCACGCAACAGCACAAGTAATGGACCTTCGCCCCCCTCCCCCCAGCAACGCCTCGGAATCCGTTTGAAACCTACCGCACAGCCTTGCTCGAATTTTGTCAACAAGGGAGGTCTAGCTACGCTCTGTTAGTGTTGAACCGTAGCTCCGCACACGGGATGTGTCACACACCCGTGGACGACCCAACCCACCGTCAACCCCAACCCTAACTCACGACCGACGGCCAGCGGAGGGCCTGGTAGCCGAAAACTGGGCGAGAACGAGGCTGCGCCGCGTTCTCGAAGTACGGAACAGAGAGAGGGCACTGGAGAGCAAAAAACTGCACGATGCTCGATCATTCAGAGGGCGTAAAAAACCTTGGATATGAGGAGTCACTAACAGACCCCTAAACTGCAGGAACATCGAGTACATCCGCGCGAAAAGGGGTGCAGCCTTTGCCTCTCTCGACACTCTCCTACCCCCACCTCGCTACATCTCCTCTCTCTCTCTCTGCCTACTTCACCACCAACTCAACAACAAATCACGTCTCGGAAAGGGGGAAGCCAAGCCGAGGATAAAGGCACGCTTCTACGGTCGCACATCTCACTCTCAACCACCCTCTCCGCGATGCAATGCTCCGCTTTCTTTATTATCCCCCATCCAAAGCCCCTTCCCGAACCTATCCGAAGCAGCCCGCAGGGTTGCGTGCGCATCATCTGGCTTGTACACCTCAGTCTGAAACATCCTCTCAACGTAACCGGTGCTGCAACGTTCCGCTTTGCCTTGTGCGGTACCCCGTTCCAAATCTGTTCGAACCCGGCCCGCATAACCGCATTCTTACGTCTCCTCACCCAGCACGACCGAGCGACACTCACCCTCTCGATGTAGCCGGTGATGTACCGCTCCGTGTCATCGCCGAGCAACCCCGTCGGTTTCTTCCGCATGCAGGCCAAGGCGAAGGGCTTGTAGCCGATGGGGCTCTTGCGCTCGGCTCCGAACTTTCGGAGGGCCTCCCACTCCCCCACGGAGGCCAGCGCCTGAAAAACAAAAGGAAAAAAAAATTAAACGTAAAAAACCTTTCAGCCAAAAATACAATTTTTGAAGCCAAAAAAACATGGTATTAAATAGCGTTTTCCTACCAACGCAGCGCCTGAAAAAAACAAGAAAAAAAAAAATTAAACGTAAAAAACAGGGTAAGTGTTTGTACTAGCCGAACGTTTGAGCCCCGTGGCGTGTGCTCTGGGATAAAAGTTCGCGTAAATGTACACCATGTGCCAACGGAATGGCACAGCAAAAGCGAAGGCGATGGCCAGCTTCTGGTCCGTCCTTGTATCATGTAGCCTGGGCCGGCGATATCGCTCCGTCCCAGCATTGCAGAGATGCGAGGTCTACGGTCGAACGACTGCGGCATGCGTTTACACGATGGGTACACCCCCTGCCCAACAGAACACGAAGCTGCTGCAAAAATGGTTATCTGCAAAAATGGTTATGATAGTCGACGTGCGCGCAGACGCCGGACTTTTGCGCGCGCCGATCAACGTGGCAGTACTTTTTTATCTATAGCGTTGACGACAATACGCCGTGAGGCGGTTGCTGCTGATGAGGCAGGGCAGAGACGTGAACCGAACCGCCCCGAGGCATGACCGTGGTACCATCGCTGCGATGTACGGGGCCCCTTGCCCAATGGCAACGGCTAAACTTATCGGTCGACACCTTACAGCAGTAATCGAATCTGGTGGCGATCGCAACGTGTATAGACGGAAACAGATATTGAAATGCCGCCGGCACATGAATAAAGTTGGAGCGATCACCACCACCACCGCGTTCTCGAGAGGATGATACTGACTACTTGGTATATCTTACTTTTCACCGTGTTTTTCTTTCTTGGGGCACGGGTGGAAACAACAACAACGACCAAAACAGCCACTAACATTACAAATTGTTGTTGTGTACATAAGGTCGTGGCTCCGGTGGAAAAGAGCCGAAATCGGATGTCAAGGACTCGACCCTCTACTACTGTAGAATAGTTGAGTACTCTCTTATTCCGGTATAAGAGGGGGCTCCGATGTAAGAGTGTCGATGGCGTTTGTCACACCACCCTCTTGTATTCGACCCACGACTGCTTGTACATGATACATTCACCTTTATTCTTGATGTGACATGATTCATCGACCTTTAATCTTGATGTGACATGATTCATTCACCTTAATCTTGATGTGCCAGAAGCGTTTGTCGGGGACCTTGAGCTTCTTCTGCAAGGCCGACGCCTCGGCAAGGAGCTGCTGCCCGTCCCTCCCCTCCACACCCCCCGACGCACCGACCACGATCAGGTGGTACAACGTCTCGCTCACCGACATGTCCACGAACACATCCAGGCCCGTTTTTCGCTCCAAGACCCTGTGTGCGGGGTGGGGCAGGTGCGGCTTCGGCATTGTAGTGGCTCCACTTGTGGCAAGAGTTTGGGTTTAAGAGTCAACTTTTTTGGCTGTTGTGGGAGGGTGTACCCGCTTTTTGGGGTACATCAGCGGTGACGACGGGAGGTGTCCGCGTCGGGTGGGCCGGTACGGACGATAGGAGGTCCCGAGTAGAGACCGGAAAAAAATTTTCATGTGGAAGACAACCGCAAAAACTTGCGAACGGTGGGACGATATCGAGAGAGCTTGGCACGCGGGATTGGGGGCGGTCAAAAACCACCAGCCGTATTCCGCCCACGACCTGCCAAAGAACACCGCCCACGACAGCAGTAGCCACAGAAAGGAACGAAGCGTAAAAACATCACCAATATCAGAAGCGGGGACAGTAGCAACAGCACCAGAGGTAGGAGAGCAGCAGCATTGACAGAAGCACCAGCGACAACATAACCAACATCACAACCTTGACCACAGCCACTGCCACAGCTAGCAACGGGAGGAGAAGAGACCTAAAATAGGTACTGTACCTCTGATACTCGAGCAGCTCCGCCTGATCCTTGGTGCAGGCCTGCTGAAACGCCAGCTCCTTGCGGTGTGCGAACATACCCTCGGCTTCCTTCAACCCCTCCAGCCTACCGTCCAGGCGTTCCTGAAACAAATCGCAACAATCATTCGTGGTGGCTGTGGGGAACGATCGGCCCTGTCTCGCGAACGACAGAGAGGCGTTGTTCGACTACAATGGAGGTTCCCGAATATGGCTGGCTGTGGTGGTGAAGCTGAAAATGACCCCCTTTAAATGGGGCAGCCTTATTCAATATGAAGTATGTAGAACAATTTTGTTACTCCGTCTATGCCAGCCAATTTCATCCGCCTTACATAGGGCGATCGTCTTATTGAGACCGCCTTATTAGGGGACCCCCACTGTAACTCCATGTCGCCAACTGAACCCCCCTCCCCGGGATTTCCACTTGCTGCGCGTTTGCAGAACTCAAATGCACTCCATGGGGGAACTCTTGTTATTCTACAGCGAGACGGTTATTATTAGTCACTTTTGAACATCACCCAGAACGCCATGTGGGTACCAAGCCGTTGCGTCGGACACGCGAGCGAGAGACAGACGGACAGACAAACAACCGCACGCGTGCGCGCGCGAGAATGAGCGGCAAGGTAGGCTAACTGCACCGGACCTGCGTGTAGGCCTTCCTTATGGCCAAGGTGCCCGCCTCCAGGTACTGCTTGCTGAACACGCACAGGTTGTGCAGCTTCTTCCGCTCCATGTAACCCCCCTTCTCGCGGTAATAGACCTGTTTCGAAACAATACATGTACCAAGAGCACAAACAAAAGAAAAAAAGAAGCTCCTTCGTCACCTTCTTCCTGCGTGCGGGTAGAGATACGCCAACCGTGTACACCGAAATGTGTGTACACTGGTGACAGAATAGATGGGGGTCAACACACACAAGCGCCAAAACCACACATCGTGTACCACAAATGTGTGTTCGTCATGTCCCTTAAGCGTCGACATGCTTTGCTTCAACAAAATTTGCGGTACGGCAGTAGTATCGAAGCGTTGGGGCCAAAACACGACATGCTGTGCCTCAACAAACTCTTATCATTTCGAGGACACCTTGAGCAGGCGGAGGGCCTCCGGGTGTGCGTGCATGAGCTCGCAAAACGCCTCCCTCCCTTTCTCCGACGACCCGGCCTCCTGCTCGATGTGCATCACCGACAGGTACACCAGGTCATCTTCGCCGGACAGGATGGCCTTCTTCAGACCCAGCTCGTTCTCTCCCATTGACAGCAGCAGAGGCACCTGGAGAGATTTGAGTACCATGCAGAGATAACGTGGTTCAGATGGTTTGGACAAAACTCGTCCTCTCGCATCGAGAGCAAGAGGGGAACCTGGAGAGATGAAGAGGGGGGAAAGATTGTGCGGCATAGATCATGTGCACGCGACGGGAAAAAAGAAGTGCTTCGTGTACACGCAGCCAGCCTCGGTGACGGCATGCCGTCATGTGCACCAAAGCAACGCTACAACAAGCACCTCCACTAGTGGCTCTACTTGCAAGACCCGACTTCGCGCTCTCGCGTCAAGAGCAACACGGGCGCATTACTCTTATTGAGATAAAGAAAAAGCAAGCAACATGCAGCGTGCGGTAGTCTATCTGCCTTGGGCAACCCCTGGTTCGTTGCAAAAAGGGCTCCGTATAGTAGGTAGATCCGAGGAGCGTCCATCATAACTCGTGGCGGCGCAGCCAATCGCGTTGGGTATACAAGTCTGTTTGGTGCGGGTGGGTTTCCATCCTCTACATCCGGGTTTTTGTCCGTGGGACCGGCACGATCCATCCCGACAACAAGATTTTATTTTAGTTTTTAAAAGAACCGATATCTACTATAACTGAACAATTGGGATGGTAACGGACACATACGACGATAACAGCGTTACTACCTGGTCCGATGCCAGGGGCTCTAGGTCCAAGAGCATGGTGGCTAATCGCCGCCTGCCCGACCTCTCCGCCGCTCGAGCCACGTCGGCGTAGGATATCTGTCCGCAGGGTCGCAGCTTCTCCACCACCTCCTGCGATTCGGAGAGCGAGCGAGGGGGATTGATCCAAGAGTGAAAGGGCAGGGAGGGAGGGAGGGAGGGAGGGAGGGAGGGAGACACAAAGACAAAGAGGGAGAGAGAGAGAGAGAGAGAGAGAGAGAGATTTAGACGGATAGGGGCAGACAGGGAAAGGAGAGCGAAACAAAAGCAAGAGAGAGAGAGAGAGAGAGAGCGGCAGAGAGAGACCGGGAAGGTGAGGGAAAGGGTGTAAGAGAGAGACGGAGAGAGACAGGGACAGCAACACGGGCAAATCAGCAACAACAAAATCCGTCAAAACCAGATGCGTGGCAACTCGAAGCAACAACAGCAGCGGAATCAAAACATGAGCTCTCCTGCGTGCCCGCATGCCAAAAGTCTCCATCCATCACCGCACGCGGGTTCGTTCACCACCCTGAAAACGTAATCCCTAAAGACAGTGAAGGGATTCATCTCTCCTATCTCTTTGGTTGAATGTTCTGTACCCTTCGGCTCAAAGACCAAGTTCAAAGAACCCGTTTGACCAGAACGTCAGCAACATCCGCCTCAAACGACCCAGGCGTCTTCTGCAACAGCAAGATGGAAAAAAATACAATGCGAGTGTTATTTTGCAGTCTCCGAAAAATAAAAGTACTTCACAGGATGTCTTCCCGAAGGTTGTTCCTCCACACACGCTCTTGTGATACGCATTCCCAACTGTCTCAGTGTTAAATCTAACCCCCCCCGACAATACCGATAAGTCATAAAAAAACACAAGAGACGTGTCACAGCCACCGTCATTCAAAGAAATTTATTCGGCCGTTTCCCCTGAAAACCGTCGCGTGCTTACCCTAGTCAAGTCGTCGTCGGTGGGCGCGCCCGGCTCTCCGGCAGAGGCTTCGTTGCAAGCCTTGGCTATCTTCTTGCAGGCCCAGTGTACGGCCACGCGATCTCGCCGAAGCCGGAGGTGGTCGCACACCCGGACTGCCAGCAGGTGCAGGTGTCTCATCGCTAATCGGTCCACCAGGACCTGCTTGTTGGGGAGGGTGGGTTGGCGACGCGGAAATATCAGCGGCAACAACGATGGCAACAGCAGCAGCAGCAGCAGCAACAACAACAATAACAACAACAACGAAGGCGGTGCACCGCAAACCTCCTACTACCCCCAGCGTTGTGTAACCTTCCCACAACCGATGTTGCTGCCTGCGAGGTTGCAACGAAAGCGGCAACAACGTGAGAAATAACCCGCCTCCTTTGCCTCCTAGCGTACTAGCGTACTAGCGTACCTCCGGCGTAAGCCTGTCGTACTGCTGGGACGTGAGCGGCATGCCGCACGACTTGTGCCTGCAGTTGTTGAGCACCCTCAGCTTCCGGCAGCACTCTACGAACTCGTCGCTGTCGTAGTCCGACAGGAAACTCTTGCCGTACCCCGCGGCTCGCATCAGCGCCTGCGTGCCGGCCGGCCAACCACCGTCGTCATCAGAAAAATTAGCTGCTTCTCGTGGTCAATAATAGATCACGCCCGGCCCGACTTCCTGGCTGCTAGAGTCTGGCATTGCCTATATAGTATATGGGACACCCACATCTAAGCAACCAGAGTAATGAACGGTCGCATAATCATTTCTGTGGCCACAAATCCCCGCTTATCGGGGTATGTAAGCAGCCCCACTGCAACCAGAAACTTCACGGCACAACCAAGCCACCTCCGGCACCAACTCCGTATAAAACAGCCCCCGCTGTACCGACCTCGACAGCAAAAGTTTCTCACGACCTCGATAGCTTTTAAACGAAATAGCTCACAGCACAACAAAGCGTGTTCGCCGAGCAAGTCACAAAACAACAACATAAAAAATCCTAGCCGAAAAGATGACGACGACATATTACTTCCCCCCCCCCTCCGCCCCCGAACACCCGACACACAAAAAAACAGAGCAGTTTTCCGACAAAACCGTCTTGCGTCAGTCACACCACGCGCTTGCATGGCCATCATGACCCACCCCCAGTCACGCCAAAAACACGAACGCGCCGTGGGATCACACAGCAGCAGTATTGCTGTAGATACCTTTTGCCTAGGGATGTCGAATTCCCCCGCAGCCGCTGCGATGCAAGACTGCACCGCTTCCAGCAGCGGATGACCCTCGCCGTCTGCGTCTCCGTCTCGCTCCATCGCACGGATGTTCTGACGGGCGGTCGGGTGGTGGGTGTCGGCAATGCTTTGGTTAGGGTCCAAACGATGAATGCGCGTCTTGTGTGGGTTATTTCTTGTCTCAGAGAGGAAATCGATGTTTGACCACGCATATGTATCCCGCGGATGTTCTGAGGGAAGATCAGTAGTGGGTGTTGGCAATGGCTATAGTCAAACACGGCGGTGTATGCGTGTGTGTGTATTGCTACCTATTAAGAGCACGTTGACATTTGGCCACACATTGTTTCTCGAAATATGGCCTCAAGAGCAAATTGATGTTTAGCAACAGATCGCACGGACGTTCTGACGAGTGATCCGTGGTAAGTGTTTGCAATGGAAATGGCTGTGGCCAAAACGTTCTAGGTGTGTGTGTCCTGATGCGGAACAGGACCCGCGATCCCCGACCGTACGACAAACAAAGCGTCCGATAGCGAAATGCCACCAATAAACGGCCTCACCCCCCTTGCTGCCTGCATGCTACGGACCCCCCTTCACCTCATCCGCCCTGGGGTCACCCTCTTCGAAGGCCGCGGCGGCATCGAACAGCATTGCCGCGGGATCGGTGGAGCCTATCCTAGAGATGGCCTCCGATGCTACGGGGACCCTCTGCAGCAGCTCGCACTCCACGTCGGTGAATATTTTGCAGCAGTCGGAGTCTGGCGCGAGAAGGACCGTCGCCTCTGGCGGATAGGAAAACCTTCGTTCAACGAAACACACACACACAAAAGAAGAAAAAAAAATGATGTTCGGGATGTGGGGAAGAAGACAAGACAGTAGCCTTCGCAATGTCCCTCTATTAAGTAAGCATGTTGGAAAAAGCATGAAATCGGGGAAGATGGGTTAGGGATATAGTGTCTGCGTACCCCGTCCCTGTTCTGTTTCCTCTTCATTCCTCATAAACTAAACTTGTTAATCTCGCAAAGGCGGCCCGAGAAAACACGAGGCGGACAAACCATTGTGTAAGTTGGTGGTATGTCTTGTGTGTGTGTTTTTTGCTTGTAGAGCGGCGTGTGCTGGGGTGGTGATCGGGCCGCGCGTTGACAAAGAGCAGGGGGGCGTTTGTCGGAACACGTGGGGTGCGACAGACGTATCCGCAATCAATCTACTAGCATCATCCGTGTTATCACAACTAACCTCCACGGCATGACCAAACGGCCGGGCAACTGTCACCGAGTGCGCAATTTCAGCGAAGCCGCGGATCCACCTGTTGGCATCAATATCAAAGCGTGGGCGTTCCAACAAAAATGGCCGTCAATGTCTCCCCCCCCCCCCCCCCCCCCCGAAAACCCCCCCCCCCCCCCCCCCCCCCCCC